GGTTTAAATATATGTATTTTATCTTGGGGGTAGTCATGAAGTTTTTTGCAGAATGTATAGAACATTAAAAGTAGGATTTTAGGTGCTACTTTTTTTGAGCTTGGTTAGGGGCCAGGGTGATACCACAGTGGTTTTATGAGCATTCCTGATGTGTAATATTTATTTTTATTTGCTCTTTCTTCATATTTAGTGTGTGTTGTAAAACTGTATAAGGCGATCATGTAACATTAGAAGTAACAATCAGAAACAGCTCTTAATGAAGACTTTTTTCTTACAGATTCCTCTGAAATGTATTAAAGACATATTCATTTGAATAAAGTAGGCTCCATGCCTCATAGATTTAATTCAGACACACTATAAAACCTTCGATGTCCTTGCAGAAATAACATAAAGATCAATAACCTGAAAGAAGCAAGGGGATGAAAATACATGGTAGATGAGGCTTGTTTTGTACAGGAGAACAGAAGGAATATTTAAAGCTTGCTGGCAGATTAATATTGTCTGCTTTACATTTTGTCTGCTATATTCTAAGACATTAGCATCTGTTTCCAGAAGTTTAATCAAAGCCACTGAAGGAGAAAAATGGGCATTCAGAAAAATGAACCCAGTGGATGACTAGGGACTTTCAGCAAAATAATATATTCACAAGGGCCTGTCATCTCTGTTTATTTAACAAGGACCTCATCTTCAAGTTTTATTTTAAAAAATTCTTGTTTTAAATTCAGGTTAATTTGAGGGAACAAAAACTAGATTATAGCATTTTCATTTGTTAGGTAGAGGTGTTTCTCTCTTGCAATTGTGTCCCACACCCAAAAGGTGTGCCATCTACCCTTACATTGCCCATTAAATGGGAGCACACCAATCCCTTTCCCTCCTTCCCTCTCTCCTTTCTCCTGTTCCCCCTCTCTTGAACTTGAATTGAGTAGAGTTTTTCTCCTATGCAGGTGCGTGATAGATCATCTACTGGCTTCACATTAGTATTGAGTACATTGGATATTTGGTTTTCCTTACTTGTGTTACTTTACTAAGGAGAATGTGTTTCAACTTCCATCCAGGTTAATATAAAATGTGTAAAGTCTCCATATTTTTTTATGGCTGCATAGATTTCCATAGTATACATATACTACAGCTTGTTAATCCATTCCTGGGTTGATGGGCATTTAAGACATATTTCCACATCTTGGTGATTAGTAAACTGAGCTGTGATAAACAAACTAGTGCAAATGTCTTTATGAGAGAATGATTTTGTTTTCTTCTGGGTAGATGCCTAGAAATGGGACTGTGGGGTCAAATGGGAGGCCTAATTTGAGTTCTTTGACAATTCTCCATATTCTTTCCAAAGAAGCTATATTAGTTTGCAGTCCCAACAACAGTGTAGAAGTGTTCTTTTCTCTCCACACCTTTGCCAGCATATGCAACTTTGGGATTTTATGATGTGGGCTGTTCTCACTGGGGTTAGGTGATATCTCAGGATGATTTTGATTTGCATTTCTCTGCTGATTAGAGACAGTGAGCATTTTTTCATATCTTTGTTACAATTTATATTTCTTCCTCAGAGAAGGTTCTTTTTATGTCTCTTGCCCAGTCATAGATGATTTGCTCTTTTTTTGCTGATTAATTTGAGTTCTCTATAGATCCTAATTATCAAAGCTTTTGTCAGATTTCTAACATGCAAATATCTTTTCCTGTTATGAAGGTTGTCTATTTGCTTCAACTGCTGTGTCTTTAGCTGTATGGAAGCTTTTCAGTTTAATTAAGTCCCATTTGTTTATTTTTGTTGTTGTTGCAATTGCCATGAAGTCTTCTTCATAAAATCTTTCCCTAAGCTGACTTCCTCAAGGGTCTTTCCCATTGTCTTCTAGGATTTTTATCGTTCCATGACTTAGATTTAAATGTTTTATCCATCTTAAGTCAATTTTTGTATGTGGTGAAAGATGTGAGTCCAGTTTAAGTTTTCCACATGTGGTTATCCAGTTCTCCTGGCACCATTTATGGAATAGGGATTCTTTTCCCCAGTGTATACCTTTGTTTGGTTTATCAAAGATCAGATGGTTATCAGAGACTGGTTTTATCTCTTCGTTTTCTGTTTAGTTCCATATGTCTGTGACTCTATTTTTACGCCAGTACCATGCTGTTTTGATCACATGAACTTATAATATAACCTAAAGTCTGGTAAAGTGATGCTTCTGGCTTTGTTTTTATTACTAAAAATTGTGTTGGCTATGCAGGTTTTTTTCTGATTCTATACAAGACAAAGTGCTATTTCTTCCAGTTTTTCAAAGTATGATGTTGGTTATTTAATGGAGATTGCATTGATTCTGTAGATTACTTTAGGATGGGAATATAGACATTTTAACAAATGTTGATTCTTCCCAGCCAAGAGCATGGTATGTTTTTTTTTTTTTTTATTGTTAATTTGTTAATGTCTTCTGCTATTTCTTTTCTTAGGGCTTCATATTCTCTTTGTAAAGATCCTTCATCTCTTTTGTTAGGTATATTCTTTGAAGCTACTGTGAAGAGATTTGTCTCTTTGATTAGCTTCTCAATTTGATTGTTACTGGCATATACAAAGGCTGTTGGTTTGTGGACATTGATCTAATAGCCTGAAAAGTTACTTTATTTCTTGATCACTTCCAGGAGTCTTCTGGTTGAGTTTCTGTGGTTCTCTAAGTGTAAGAACCTTTCATTAGCAAAGAGTGAGAAGTTGACCTCCTCTGCTCCCATTTGAATGCCCTTTATATCCATCTCTTGTCTGATTGCATTGGCTAGAACTTCCAGCACTATGTTCAATAGTAGTGACAATAGAGGACATCCTTGTCTAGTTCCAGTTTTAAGTGGAAAAGCTTTCAGTTTTACTCTATTCAGTATATTAGCTATGGGTTTGCCACAGATGGCTTCAAACAGTTTAAAAAATGTGTGACTTCTACCTATATTCTTAGGTATTCTTGTTAGAAAACAATGCAGAATTTTGTCAAATGTTTTTTCTACATCTATGAGAGAATCATATAGTCTTTGTTTTTCCTTCTATTGATATGGTGAATTACACTTATGGATTTGCGTATGTTAAACCAGCCTTGCATCCCTAGAATGAAGCATGATGTATAATTCTATGATGTAAGTGTGATGTATAACAGCTTCATTGTGATGTATAATTTTTTAAAAATGTGTTGCTGCAATGTATTGGCTAGGATTTTGTTGAGTATTTTTGCATGAATATTTATTAGTGAAATTGATCTGTAGTTTTCCTTTTTAGTTGGGTATTTTCTTCATTTTGGTATCAGGGTGATGTTTGCTTTATAGAATGTGTTGTGGAATCAATGTTTTGGAATAGGTTCTGTAGTATAGGTACAAGCTCTTCTTTGAAGGTTTGATAGAATTCTAGTGTGAAGCCATCTGGTCCAGGGCATTTTTTTGTTGGAAGATTTTTTTATTGTCTCTTTGATATCACTGCTTGATATTGGTCTGTTCAAGAGATCTATTTCTTCCTGGTTAAGTCTAGGAAGATGGTGTGATTCCAAGTATTTCCACCACATTGTCATGTTTATGGGTGTAGAGTTTATTATAGTAGTCAGAGATAATCTTTTGTATCTGTTATTATTTTCCCTTTTTCATTTCTGATTGGGGTGATTATAGAATTTACTTTTCAGTTTCTAGTTAATATGGCCAAAGGGTTATAATTTTATTTATCTTTTTGAAGAACCAATTTTTTGTTTCATTAATTTTCTGAATAATTCTTTTGTTTTCAATTTCAGTTACTTCTGATTTAATTTTGGTTATTTATTTTCTTCTGCTACTTTTGGGATTGGATTGCTCTTCCTTTTCCTTTTCCTAAAGATGATTTATTAGGTTGTTGATGTGCTCTCTTTTTGTTTTTGACATGTATCCATTGAATGCAATACATTTGTTTCTTAGGACTGCTTTTGCAGTATCCTACCCATTTTGGTAACTTGTAGTTTCATTGTTGTTATGTTTGAGGAATTTAATAATTTCTTCCTTTATCTCTCCCTTGACCTAACTGTCATCCAGCATAATGTTTAATTTTCATGCCTCAGAAAATTTTTATTGGAATTGAGTTCCATTTTTCTTGCCTTGGGGTCTGAGAAGATATAAGATATAATTTTAATTCTTTTAATTTTGCTGAGGTTTGATTTGTGTCCTATGATATGATCTATTTTGGAGTATGTTTCATGAGATGATGCGAAGAAAGTATATTCCTTAGCTTTGGTATGTGTTCTGTATATGTCTGTTAGACTCATTTGTTCTAGGGTCATATTTAAGTCCCTTGTGTTTAGTTTCTGTTCAGAGGATCTGTCCAATTCTGTTATGGTGTTATAGGATATCATATTGCTCAGACCAATTAAGGTCTGTTTCATAAATATGGGAGCATTTAATTTGGGCACATAAATATTCATAAATATTTAAAATTGAAATGTCCTCTTATTATATGGTTCCCTTGACACATATGAAGCAACCATTTTTGTCTTCCTTAAATCTACTTGTATCTGAAAATAAGATTGTGACCTCTCCTTTCTTCAGATTTTGATATGTGTGAAATATTGTTTTCCAGCCCTTCACCCTGAGTCTTGTGTTTTCTTTTGAGGTGTATTTCCTGAAGACAACATATGGATGGTTTGTGCTTTTTTATCCATTCAGTCAGTCTGTGCCTTCTTAGTGGAGAATTCAAGCCATTTACATTTATTGAGAGAATTTATAAGTGTGGTGAGATTCCATTCATCTTATTTTGTGAAAGTCCATTGCTTAGTTTTATCCTTTGTGTCATTGTGGAAGCTAGATTTTGTCCCTTAGTTTCTGGGTGTTTACTTGCTGGTAGTTCATTGCGATGTTTAGTGTGGAGAATAAGTCTAAATATTTCCTGTAGAACTGGTCTTATTGTGGCAAATTTTCTTATGTATTCATATTAGTAGAAGATTTGATTTCTTCATTGATTTTGAAGCTTAGTTTAGTAGGATACAAGATTCTGGGTGAAAATTTTTTTGTTTAAAAATATGGAATGCTTCACAAATTTGTGTGTTATTCTTGCCCAGGAGTTGTGCTAATCTTCTCTGTATCATTCCAATTTTAGTATATATGCTACCAGAGCAAGCACATCTTCAAGTTTCATTGGACAATGAGATACCTAGCTTGTGAAGCTATGATAAATAAGGATAACATCGTGATATCAAAAAAAAATTCTATTACTTTTTGCCTTTAAAAAATGTTAGAAGATAAAAGACTAGAATAACTGGTTCTTGATACATTTGACATTTTAAAAATACATATTTAGTGAAAACCACTCTAATTAGACATCTAAAAGTAACACTTATCTTTTGGATATTTGCACATTCAGCATGAAAAGAGAAGGGCAATCTTGAGTGTAATACAAAATTGGTAATGTGGGTTGAGGCAGTTGATCTGGTGGCTTTGTGAGTGTTCTCTGCCTTTGTCATAGCTCTACCTATGCTTACTAAGGCTTTCTAAGAGATAGATGAGATAGCAAGACATATGAGCATATATTTGCCACATAAGAATTTTTCTGTGGTCAAGGCACAGGGACTGGGCAGGCTGAGTTTAACAACTTAAGTGTAGGGATCAATAGCAAATAACTATGAGAGTCCAGAAATCTGGTCCTTAGTTAAAGGAGCAGCTAGCTATTAACTATCTCCAGTAGGTATTTTTGTCATGTATTTCTAAGGAGGTTTTAAACAGTCTTTAGATTCTAAACTGTATTGTAAAAACCATGGGTATATATTGAATATTCTGGTAATAAAAAAGGAGTAGTGAGATGATACCTTTGTTTATGGAACATTCTGCAGTCTGTGTTCCAAAGACAAGTTAACAATGGGGGTATTTTCTCCATCCTGTGATACTGTGCACTTGACATCTTAACTCCAAACATTCAACACCATTCATGGAGGTCATGTATCTTCATGGATATTTTTAACGTAAGGTTTTATGTAATCAAATCTTTATTTGTAACTTCAGAAAATAAAGTACTATAAAGGAATTAGCTAAAATAATGTGTATGTTTGTCTATTATCTTTCACTATTTCTACTTCACATTGTTTTAGTTATAAAATTGATAAATTGATTCTTACAACTATCCCTTTCCCTTTTCTATTATTTGGTTTTAAAATTTATTTAAGTGTCAGAGAATTTCCTTTATTAGGAACAATGTATTACAATGCAATTAAAAAAACAAACTACTTAAGTCTGCATGCTTCAAAACAATTGTAAAATAATTCAGCTGAACTTGGGTTATTAAACTTAGCCTGCTTGCAGTTTGATAATTGTATTTTAGGGTCATCTCACCATGGCTTCCTGGGAATTTTTTTCCCTATAGACAAAATTAAAATGGAATTCATGAAATCCCAGAGGGCTTTGTACTTGATGTTAATAATATTATTGCTTTATTGATCAACTTTTCTGGGGAGAATAGCCATAATTCTTATTACACTTAACATCAAGCCAAGATCATAAAGCTCATGACTTCCAGAAATGTCATAACCTTGATTTTGAAGTAGTCCTTTAGGGAACATTACTGGAAGGAGTACCTACTATGAGTCAGGTAACTGAAAGAGTTATGAAGATGAATAATATGCATTCTCCACTTTCACAGTCTAGTGAAGGTAATAGTGGATGCAATTTAAATGCAGTCAGAAAATAAAGGTCATGCAATATAACATGTTTCATGCGATGATAAATTGTTTTATACTTTGTGCAAACTGATCTCAGTATTTACATTAGTTTCTAACTATGTAATAAATATAAACAACTGAGTGTTTTCTCTTAATTTTAACTCTCAAATTTCTAATTTCTTATGTACTGTCAACAGGAAATTATAATACTGACTCTACTTATCCCTAGAGCTGGAATATTTATATATTGAGTAGTATTTGGATTCAAAAATGACATTAGTGCTTCTAAGGAGAGTATTAAAGCATTTTTAAAAATGTAAAATAAACAAAAAGATTTCAGGAGCTAAATTTAGTCAGCTCACATATTTTTTCAGTCACTGCCTTTCCTTGGTTCTGAAGTGAATAGCAACAAACACCCTTCATGCCTGGTCTTGACACCTGTTCTGATTAAGATGAGGAGGAATTTGGGAGTTTTAGTCCATCTGTGCTATGATTATAAGAAACACTGTGCTAGTAATCTTTGTCCCTGAGCAACCTCTGTATCTCTCTGTTGAGTTAGCCAGGGTTGTGGGGTTTTATCTGTGTTCCTAAGCATGCTCAGAAACCAGTCTTGTCAATTCTCCTATTGGCCTATTTCACCCTTTGCAATAGGTAGGGAGACTTGTGTGAACTGGACTGACTCTATCCAGCCTTGAAAAAAATACATTAATTTGTTAGTTAATACTGGAACAGAGTTGAGTATCTGGTGCTCTCCAGTGTGGACTTTCCCTCCTCCCTTCTTTAGGTGAACAGTGAGGTCCTCGTGTTCTGTGGTATAGCCTGTCAGAGACTCAGCAATTTTTACATATAGTCCACAGTGTTTTTAGAGCTTTCTATTATCAAAATAGAACCCTAGAACTACAAATCAAATGCACCTCCCAGGACATCATGAATCTTGCTTTCATAGGACTGTGTTAGGGAAATGAGCAAGGTCACAAAGTTTCAAAATTATTTTTAAATGGTCTGTAGCCACAAGGTAAGCTCACAGAGAATTAAGTAACTTCAGATTTAAAAAAAAATAGATATATCAGTTCTGGTTTTAATTTCTTCCTTGGCAATTAAATGTCTCCGTCATGAGAATCTAAAGTTAAATGCATGAGCCACAGGTGTCATCATTTTGAAACTTGGCGATTTTTTGTACACTGGAGCCATCATGATTGGACTCAGATTTCTGGAGCCATCATGATTGGACTCAGATTTCTTATTTGGTTTTGGTTCTTTTTCAAATAACTTTATGCCTCATAAAGTGGTGGTCATTAAATATCTTGAAGCATGACTTGAAAACTTTACTAATTATTATTATGACTTTAGCTGAGAAAGGAAAAAATGGAAAGTATAAACATTAGCAAATGTTGTGAGCATCAGCCTTACAGAACTGCTCTTGACTAATCTAAGTACCTGTGATCATACTGGGTTTGAATGTGAGCCCTTCTCTGGTGCACATGGGGAGTGATTAGAGTGATTAACTAGAGGCATTTTCCTTGGATTTTATTCTTGGCTCCAACATAGATGTTATTGGATTGCCTTGCTAAGCCCCCATTCCTTGTGATCTAAACATACATCACTTGCTGTAGCTAGGCAGCTGTGAAATGCAGTGTAACAGCTACTCTGTTGTGGAAAATATCATTTGCAAATCTCTTATTTCATATTCCTATGACTTTTGGACAAAAATATTCTACACCTCCTGGAAGTTATAGTTTCTCAACTTCATTTTCAGACTTGGGTGGTCTCTTCTTTCTACACACATGCAATTATGTTCTATGTTCTGAGAATTATTGAGTGTACTGCCAGCTAGTGTTTAATATAACATTCTTCAAATCCTGTTTTTGCTTGAATATTTTATCTTCAGCACGTATTAGTGACTAGAATAATAAAATATACTTTTTTGAAAAGTAGGTTACATTTGAAAGGCACTTGATACATGATTTGAGCAAGTGTTTTTAAAAAGTACTATATTTATAAGCATATAAGTGAAAATTTATAAAATAACTGTATTAGTAAGAATTAGAATAGGTTATGCTACAGTGAGAAACTAGCTTTGGTATCTGGTTTAAGACATACAGTGAAGGCAAAAGAGGAAAACAGATTTATGTTATGATAAAACAAATCTGTAAAGACTCAGGGAACATTCCAGGGTAGCCCTTTTCTCTGTGATGGCTTAGAAAGGCCAGACCAATTGCATGTTGGGGTATTTTCAACACATGGTTTCTACAGTTGCCTTTAATAGAGAAGATAGGTCCTTGAAAGCTTCAGCCTGAAAGTGACCTGCATTACTTCCACTTAGATTTCATTGCCTAGAAAAAGGCTTCTCAGCCTTGGCTGGGCTAAATAATTCTTTGATGTCGGATGCTTTTCCGGGCATTGGTGGATGCGTAGCAGCATCCCTGGCTTCTGTGTTCTAAATGCCAGTAGTAACCCCTCTGGCTGTGATAACCAAAGATGTCTCCAGGAGTTGAGGAGACAAAATTGCTTTTGCTTGAAAACCATTGAACAAGAGCTAGCATTTAGCTCTAATTGCAAAATTGTTGGGAAGAATGGTTTTTTTGTGTTTATATAAAGAAGAGGAGAATCGTATATGGATGTATACCAATATTTCCAATACCAATAGTGTACAAACATTAACTAATAGAAATACAAACCATTCATCATTTTATTATACAATAGTCTGACAATTAAGTTCATGAATTCATCCTAGAAAAAGTGCTGCATACTTTATTGTTGATTATCACTACATTCACTTTTTAAGTACTCCCTAGGGAAGCTATGCACCAATGACAGCATCTGGGCTAACCTTCAAAGCAATTTTGGAATTCTTTTTTTGGAATGTCCATCAGAGCTGTCATCATATGAGGTCTAAAAATTAAGCTTGAACACTCATCCTAGAAAAAGTATATACTTCACTATTGAATATCTCTATGGTCACCTTTAAGGTACTCCCATTGGCCATCTGGTGACAACGGCCATGCGATGGCCATTCCAGAAAAAGATTTTCAAAATTGCTTTGAAGGGTAGACTAGGCACCAGCATTGGTGCATAGGTTCCCAAAGGGAGTACCTCAAAGATGACCAGGGTGACATTAGGCAATGACGTATATACTGTGTTCCCCGAAAATAAGACCTACCCCCGAAATAAGCTCTAGCAGGATTTCTATGCATTTATTAAATATAAACCCTACCCCAATAATGAGACCTAGTGATGGGCATGGCTATGTAGTTTATCTGCATAGCCAAGCCATGCATTTTGGCGCAGAGACATCCCCTGAAAATAAACCCTAGTGTGTCTTCTTGAGAAAAAATAAATATAAGACAGTGTCTTATTTTTGGGGAAACACGGTAGCATTTTCTAGGACAAGTTTGCAAAATTAATTGTCAGACCTTAAAAGATTTTAATATATTCCAGTATTGACATAAAACAAATAATGTTGCATGTCTAA